TGTAACAAGAGAGCCACTGCTCTGCGAGTTTAGTCGTGCCACGCCCTGTAGTATCATGTTCTCCTGAAACAAAATACGAATTTTCAGCCGCAATCTATTCCTCTTTCACGAAATATTACAGCTTGAATGTTTTTCGTGTAACCTCTGTATCATGAGAACCACTGCTCTGCGAGTTTTGTCGGGCGACCTCCTGTAGTATCATGTTCTCCTGATACAAAATGCGAATTTTCAGCCAAAATTTCCCCCTCGTTCACGAAATATTACAGTTTGAACGTTATCCGAAAAACCTCTGTATCGTGAGAACCACTGCTATGCGAGTTTTGTCGTGCCACCTCCTGTAGTATCATGTTCGCCTGATACAAACTACGAATTTTCAGCCACAATTTCCCTCTCGTTCTCAAAATATTACAGCTTGAATGTTTTTTGTCTAACCTCTGTATCAAGAGAACCACTGCTCTGCGAGTTTTGTCGTGCCACCTCCTGTAGTATCATGTTCTCCTGATACAAAATACGAATTTTCAGCCAAAATTTCCCCCTTGTTCACGAAATATTACAGTTTGAACGTTATCCGAAAAACCTCTGTATCATGAGAACCACTGCTGTGCGGGTTTTGTCGTGCCACCATCTGTAGTATCACGTTCGCCTGATACAAAATACGAATTTCCAGCAACAATTTCCTACTCGGTCACGAAATATTACAGTTTGAACGTTTTTCGAGTAACCTCTGTAACAAGAGAGCCACTGCTCTGCGAGTTTAGTCGTGCCACGCCCTGTAGTATCATGTTCTCCTGAAACAAAATACGAATTTTCAGCCGCAATCTATTCCTCTTTCACGAAATATTACAGCTTGAATGTTTTTCGTGTAACCTCTGTATCATGAGAACCACTGCTCTGCGAGTTTTGTCGGGCCACCTCCTGTAGTATCATGTTCTCCTGATACAAAATACGAATTTTCAGCCACAATGTTCCCCTCGTTCACGAAATATTACAGCTTGAATGTTTTTCGTGTTACCTCTGTATCCTGAGAACCAGTGTACGGCGAGCTTTGTCATGCCACCTCCTATAATATCATGTTCTCTTGATAGAAAATACGAATTTTCAGATATTTCCCTCTCGTACACGAAATATTACAGCTTGAAAATTTTTTGAAAACCTCTGTATCATGAGAACCACTACATGGCGTGCATTGCCTTGCCACCTCCTAGAGTATTATGTTCTCCTAATATAAAATACGAATTTTCAATCAGAAATTCTCCCTCGTTCACGAAATATTACAGCTTGCAGGTTTTTTGAAAAACCTTTGTATCAGGAGAGCCACTGCACAGCGATCTTTGTCGTGCCACCTCTTCGAATATCATGTTCTCCTGATACAGGATTCGAATTTTCAGCCAGGAATTCCTTTCCAGAAAGTGTTCCTTGTCTATGCTAATATTAGTTGTTTTTTAATGTACTGATTCGTGCATTGTAGTGCTAAATTAGGGTACTGCGAAAGATGGTTGTTTTGTTATGAGAATGGTGTCATAAATGTATTATATTGATTTGCAATTAAAAATTTATTCGTTTTACTTTGGTAGTCGTAACGGCGAAATGTAAAAATTAATCGTTTTTGTTATCGTTATCGCTCATTGTTGTGTTCTTGATTGATTGATAGTTTTAGTCGATGCTATGCCTACTTTCTTGATCGCTAGCGCTAGGCGCAGTATCGAATTCACTGCTTGATTATAGTAGGAAAATTAACAAACCGAGAAAGTGGGCCTCATGCTTGACTTGGAAATAGAATAAAGTGTAGAGATCGATTATTGGTGAAATCGATGCAGCCGTGGGGACACCGTTTGCAATCAAGAAAATAGTGGCAATGGCTCGCGGACTAGTAATTAAATATCTCTAGTTTTAATTTATTTAATTTATTTAAGATGGCGTTTCTATGTCCATAATATAATTCAACTTTCATTTATAAAAAAAAAGTTAGTCAAAAGGATTAAAATACTTGATTTTAGAATTCTTCCTATATTATCATTCTCAGCTTCCTTCCTATTTTTATCCAATGTAAGTGTATGAACCTATATCTATATAATCTGCAAATAAAGATTCATTAATTAATACTTAATAAGTATAAGGATTTGCTTGAATAATGTTTACTTTCTTAAAAATTACATATGGAATTTGTTTCGAGTTTCACGTATCTATTCTATTCTTAGTTAATGCTTTCACAATATACAAATTCGTATAGGTAGCGCGTCGGTTGAACGTGACGTTAAGTTTTTGATCGTTTGATTGTGGATTATTTTTCCTTGCTAAGAAATATTTGTTAATAGTATCAAAAATATAAGGGAAAATGTCGTCGAGTGATATAAATATGTTAGTCGACATGGGTTTCAGCATATCTAAAGCGTAAGTTTATTAATTAATTCTCTAATTAGTTTTAATTTTATTATAACCTTTATTATCTCAATGTATATTTTGTTGTAGAGAGAAAGCTTTAGAAATTACGGGAAACAAAGGAGTTGTTCCGGCAATGGAATGGTACGAGAAAGGCTGTGCCATCATTCTCATCGTCCGATGACGAACCTTAATTTTTATTTTAGGCTCTTGGCTCATTCAAATGATGCTGAACCATCACCTGAACCACCAACTACTGAAAGTGCACCGATGTCTAATCCTGTAACATCAGACCAACAAGACACTGCTGATGCTAGTGGTCAGGTTTCCACTACTGAAGTTGCTAAATCTATGAAATGTGATATGTAAATATTTATTAATGTTCTACACAGGTTAATATATCAACAGAGTATTTATGTTTATTTTATATTCGATAGCTGTGGAAAATTGTTTAAATCTAATTTAGAAGTTGAATTCCATGCAACAAAATCTGGGCACGATAGATTCTCTGAAAGCACAGAAGAGAAAAAGCCTCTTACAGAGGAGGAGAAGAAAGAACAATTACGGATATTAACAGAAAAATTAAAACAAAAAAACAAAGAACGAGAAGAGCAGGAAAAAAAAGATGCACAAGAAAGAGAAAAAAATAGAATAAAATCGGGAAAAGAAATGGCTCAAGCTAGAAGAAAGTAAGTTATATTTTTTTTCATATATAGTATATATACTTACCTGAAATAATGTATATACACGAAAGAAGAAAAAAATATCATATAAAGTTTGTCAGGATGCCTTGTTTCAAAGTTATAACAAATATTGTATGTATGAAATAAGTAGCTTATTCTAGCACAAGAACAACATTTTGAAATGAAGTTTTAAAAATATTTGACAATTATCTTTTCTCATATCATATTTTATTATAACCAATTATTAAAGACACAGAATTGCGACATTAAATAAATATAATGGATCGTTTGTACTCTATTGAAAAATACATAGCTATCTATTTCATACAATATTTATTTATAACTCTGTAATAAGGTGGTTCCTTATAATGTATGTATTTTATTTGTTTATTTGTACATGTGTATATATTTGTAATATTTATGTATTTATTTGTCATGTGTATACATCACTTATAGATTAGAGGAGCTAAAAATGAAAAAGTTGTTAGATGAAAGGAAACGTGAAAAAGAGGAAGAAAAATTAGCACGGCAAAAGGTTAAAGAACAAATTGAAGCAGATAAAGCTGCCAGGCGTGCCAAAGCTGATGCTGAAAAAGCATTAGCAGCATCTCCTTCTACACCATCATCCTCTACTAGTACTTATCGAAAAGAATATAATGACACAAAATTACAAGTAATAACTTGCATATTTATAAATATATATTTTTAATTTTAATATTTAAATGTCATTATATTTAATGAAAATAATAATATTTTAGATTAGGCTTACTAATGGACAAACATTAACACAAAGCTTTGGAAGTAAAGAAAAGTTGTCTGCTGTAAGATTGTTTATAGAAATTAATAGGACAGATGCACCTGGCCCGTTTAGTTTAATGACAAATTTTCCAAAGAAAATTTTCATGGAAGAAGACTATGAAGCTCCACTTAATGCTTTAGGTATATTAATAATTTATAATGTGTGGTGTTGTACTTTTTAATTTAAAAATAAAGATACAATGTATTTTAATGTTAATTATTATGATTATTCTTCTAGGCCTAACACCATCTGCAGTTTTAATTGTTCAGAAGAAGGTGGAATAACCATATTAAGTATAAGATACTATTTGCCGCACAGTCAACAATATGATTTTTCAGCTATTGTAAAATATTTTACAGATTGTTTACAAAAAACCAGCATTTTGTCATCTTCTATTCCTAAAACATTCTCTATTTATAATTAACAAAGATAAAAAATATATACATTTGGAAATATGATTGTTTTAAATCTTTAATTCCTTTAGAGATACAAAATATATATTGGAATATATCGATTTGTATACTGTATTATATATTTGTATATAATTTTCCATACACCTTATATTGCTTAATTTATACTATAATTATACTTGTACTACATTATATCGTGGTACTATACTAGGATATGTTACGAGTTCAGAGGCGTCACAGTTCGTAGGATATTCGGAAATTCCATCGCAGTCCATCAATTGTAACATCTTATTAAAACATATTCGTATTTCCAATATATATGATTCTCCAGTATTCTAAAATAATTTTTTATGTTAAATTCAACTGTAAAATGTTATACAATATTGTACAATACATAAATAAGTTCCTACCTTGTTTTTTCTGCAGATTACAACGCCTCGTTTACCTAATACTTTTCTGATAGCATTCAAAATAGCGTTTGTGCCATATTTTTGCCCAGGTACGATATTGACTTTTGCTAACACATTCTTCATATCATACTTTGCCAGTAAATTCAAACCTTCAGCGAAATATTTGACCTCGCTGTTTAATTGCTTCAGAACCACCGCACAAGTACCATGTTTTTTCCATTCGTGTTCCCAAAGAGAATACGATGTCCTTCCATATTCTACATCTATCCACTTTTCTTGTAATTCTCCTTTTAATGACTTCAAAGCATCTGGCTTAAATGGCATTGATTTATTACAAAATTGTGGACCCACTTTATGATATTGAGAAGGCCAAATGCCATGGATTGTCCACTCATCATGTTCTTTTGGTAACGAACATGTGTGCGATGGTGAACTTGCCTTCCATGTATAACAAACAGTTTGAGGCCATCTTTGAGTAAAAATTAAAACATCGAAATTGTTTGATCCCCTGTAGCCTTCATCACTATGAAAACAATCTTTTATTTACAAAGAATGCTCAGAAATATATTATATTATAAATAAATGATTAAATATAAAAAAGGAGTATGCTTGACAAATAATATTCTTTACTCACCTACTTGCTTTAGCAATAAAAATTAAACATAAAATATTAATGATTATTTTGCAATTAGACATATTAACGATATTAGTTCTTAGTAAACAAAGGAAATCTAAAAGGAATTCAGTAATTACAAATTGACACAAATCTCTCTGATGTAAGTGCCTTTTATAAATGTTACCCTACCATTTCTACTTAAGTAACAGTTACTTAGATATCTAAACGTTTTAGTAGAAATAAAGTACTTGAACATTTATCAAGTATTTTGATATCAGTAATTACTTTTCATTTGTGCTTTTATCATAGACAAGATACGTATATGATAATGAAATAAGACATAATATTTAACTTAATAACATGTACATATAGATATAGATAAAACGTAACAAATATTTAACTTTTACTATATCATACTTCTTATGTCAATATAATATTTGCCTTATAATAGTTGCCTTTATTTTTCTTTTTTTTTAATGATTTACTATAATTTAATTTATTTACTATCTAATCAATATAAAGATGGTTTCTTAGTTTCTAAGAATCTCAATAGAGAAATGGTTAGAATTTACAAAGTTTAATGAGTCTAATACTTATTCCATTTACAATTTCTTTTTAGAGGTTATTGTCCTATTAGAAGTCACATGGTAAATGATTCTATGTAGTTCACTATGTATCTCTTTCTTGCTTTGCTCTATCGTCTTTCCTTCTTTACATTTTTGAGGAGAACATTTTAAATCTAGATAAATTATAAGAATTAAAAATTAAAATTTTACATTTAGATAAAATTTTTGTATCAGATAGCAATCAATGGATAAAAATGATTTTTTCCTTTCTTGGTATTTCTCTTCAAATTTACTCGTTTATTCATAACAAAATATAAAATTTTTTTATACTCATATAACATTAATTGCATGTTTTTTGATAGATGAAACTTAATACTAGAATATTTTAACATTTATAACGCGTTATTGCCATTACATAGTATTATTATTATTACATTACGATATACATATCTCTGTCGTTTAATTCGACAAGTGAATAATGCTGATACCAATGACTAAATTTAAATATTCTTAGTCAGTGGTGATATTAGAAACAGATCGCTGTTTATTGTTTGATATTCTAACTAAAAGTGTGTTAAAGTAAAAATCATTATTAATATTATTTATTAATTGCAATTGAGAGTTTGTAAATTGCAATTTAATTCAAATCTAATCGAAGCATTAAAATCCATTTATGCTATCGATAATTCGTACATGAGTTAAGCAGAAGATATCGAAGTATGTACATATTGATACTGTTTCATTATTGCTTTATTCGTGTGTGTAATTTTAATCATAATGAATATTGATCATTGTAACAAAAGAGAAGTTAAGCATTCATCATATATTTTTCATTTTCAACCGAAGTTATGATAGCCATTGCATTTTTGTAAAAGGAATCGTGCAAAAAGGAGACAAAAAAAAGGAGATGCAGCATCCATTCAATTTGAATCAACTTGTAAAACAGAGATATAGTTCCTTCTATAAAACCAATTGCTGAACCAAAATTTTGTATTTAATTTTCACTGTCCAACAGCCGGATAAGAACCGAACGAATTCTTTAAAAATTCATTGCTAATCAAGCACGAGACTCGTGTACGTCTCGTTAGCATGGTTACAGAGTTAATTTTTTTTAAATAACGGTGCAGTCGAGCAAAGTGCATTCGTTCATCGGCTTTGTATATTCGTATATTAATGATAAAGCATTACCAATGCTTCGATGGTGCATTCGACTTGTGCACGACTCGTAGTAATACAAATGGACTTTAATCTGGAAGAAGAGTGTATTTTTCGACTTCCAAAAGATTCAAAGTTGAACATTTCTTTTATTTATGAAATCACTGACATTTATAAAATCTTACAAAGTTGTTATTGTCCAAACTACAATTTTAATATGGAATAAAACAACACCGAAAACAACGATTATTTTACTTTTAATAAAAAAATAACAGTTGGTAAAAAATAATTTTGGTGGAGAACAAATATGAGAGAAAGATTTTTAACTTTAAATTGATGTCAAATTGATGAAAGAAATATTTGCAATATCATTTTTATATTAGAATTTAATTTTTAATAATTTTGTATCATTTTACAGCATTATTTTTATGTAGAAACAATAATAAAATTTTTAATTTAATTAAAACCTAAATTTTAACTCTTTTTAATGTAACAAATTCCAACAAGAAATCTGCAGAAAGTATTTCTTATTTTCATTTTTATTTTATACGAAAAATTCGTGGAATTCTGTGAATTAATTTTCGAAAAAAAGGTATATTTTGAGAAAGGCTTTTCTTCGAAATAACGCTTCAATTTTTTATAATACAGCTTAAATAACAATGTTAGAATTGTGCAACATATTTTTTTTAAACTCGATATGAATATGAATCAGAGAATTATGCAATATGTACTTTAATATCTTAAAGTATAATAACAGTGTATAACAGTCTCAGTTGTTATGTATTTATCACTATTTATTATTATTTATGATTACTGATCCCCTAACTTATGATTTTCCTGAATACCATATATGATTTCTCTGGAATATTTTATTAATCGACTTTATAATATCGCTTTTAGTATGTATTGCAAAATGTATCCGATAATGTATGAATTGTAAACAAAATGTTGTAATTATACTATTTAAAAATTAGTGGATAATTTTGCACCTTTGGATCTATAGAGATTTGTTAGAAAAAGCATTTTCAAATTCTTTTTATTGCATGGTATTCTATCTTGTCGCAAAGATGAAAACTTTCAACAGATCCATGAGTCGCAAATGACTTACCTTCTCGCAAAATGATGTTTAATTTTCGTTTAATATTCCTTATCATTGATTTTATTTGTAATATTGTAATAACATCTTAGAAATAGTAATAATACATTCAGATTTGATATAATATACTATTGGTAAAATATTACATAATACACCATTGATAAAATTGATGAGAATTATTCCTTGGCATGCGAAATATCGACAAATGGCAAGAATTAATGGAAGACCATAATACCTTTATTAAAAAAATTCTACGATAAACAGTAGTGATTTCCAATAACAGTGATTACATCAACAGTTCAATCACAGTAGTGATATAAACAGTAGTGATTTGCAATAACAGTGATTACATCAACAGTTCAAGTTCAGTGATTTAGTGATTGCTACATCAAACCCTTACTCGGCATGAGGAGCACAGCGTCCTTGTGTCCATTGTCGTAAAGAAAATGGTACATGCTTTTAAACATTAATATGCCAAGTATATGTATTATGAAAAATATATAAAATAAAATATGTATTTAAACGGCGTATTTAATAAATTCCTATCGACATCTTTATCTTTTTTCTATAAACATACATGTGCATAAACATGTACCTAGTTACGACATAGAGAGTTAGCCAAAGTTGCTTTATTATCAACATGTGTGCACGCATCATTGTAGATAATATCACAAGCCATATTTTTTCACTTGCTAATTATTCACTTTATTAGTCGCATTTTTTTGTCATCGGCTTTGCCTAACCGGACATGCCTGATTTATTTTATACCTGACTTTGACATTTAAAGCTAGTTTAAAAATTCAAATGATATATATATTTATAGTTTAAAAATTCAAATTATATATATATATATATATATATATATATATCAGTTTAACAATTAAAAAAATTTCAATACGATTTTCGAAGAGTCTCACAATCAGACGAATTATTTAGCTTTGGGACTTTTTGTCTTTGTAACGCGTAGGATATTATGTAACAAAAAAAAATTTGACCTTTATAATTATGTTTAAGTTCAATTACGGTCATATTTTTTAACAGATCTGCATCAGTCCACAAGTGTCAAATCATTTATCGTGATAACAAATAATTTTTAAACTTGTAATACTAACACTCTCCAACACTTTAAATTTTTTAAATTTTATTTCATACTTATACCCATATATGTCTAATATACATATTAGATAGAAAGGACAAAATATAAATTATTTATTTAAAAATTAAAAATAAAAATTTACTCATGTTCAAGTTCAAGGTTTTATTAAATTAAGACTTTATAATAAATTTATCATATATCCCCTTTATAAAATAAGACTAGGTTTTATCTATCGATGTTAAAATGATTTTTTATTATCCTTCCAATGAGAGTAAGTGTTTGAAACATTTTGTTCGGTGTAAGTCGTTGTCTAAGCAAATAATAAAAGAGAATCCGTAAACAGATAAGGATAATTATTAAGGCGACAACGTCAACCCAAAAAGTCACATGTTCCATCTCTAAAATAAGAATTAAAACATTATATTTGAAGGAATAATATATTTCAAGATTTTCTAAATACTTTTAAGAGGCTTACGCATCATTAATAAAATCTCACGAGGTGATCTAAATGGGCAGTACATTTCTTCAGTTGGGCAATATAACATTTCTCTATTATAACCGTATAAACTAGTTGTAAGACCTTCTAAACCATATCGAAGATAGCTTGAATACATTATTAATTTGCGATAGAGAGGCAAATTTATTTTTTCACCCATTCCTTGTATAGCGAACAACATTATTGGGACAGTAAGCGCAGGGCCAGCAAATGTACCATTCTAAAAAATATACTATCATCAGAGATATACTTTTTAGTATACTATAATAGCATCTCCAAGTATTTCTCAATTAATTTATTAGTAATATAGGATTATCATTATCAATAAAACATACCACAATGTTCAATGTGCTGGCTAAAGTTAACCCTATACTTTCTGCGATAAACCCACATATTAAGCAAACACTAAAGAACCTTGCACATCTGAATAACTCCAGAGGCTGATCTGTGATCACATATACTATCGATAAATAGATTAACGATAGTAGTATCTGTAATGGTGAGTCATTAATTATAATTATGATTTTGTTCTCCTCCCAATTGATTCAAATTATATTGTATAATCATTAATGCAATCGATTACTTTCTTACTTGTAAGGGTATATTGATTATTGTAAATGCATAATAATACGGACTCAAGTCGTACCACATGTTGAAATATTCACGCTTAATCAGTTGTATTTCCAAAGGAACTGTAATTTTAAAATTAGCTGAAAAAGTATGATCGAACTCGAAGAAAACGGTAATGAATTTTTGTAAAAAGGATAATCGATTTCAATTGAAAATATAATCGAACATTGGTCCGAATTCTTCCATATTTTACAATTCTCAATAACTTATTAGTTATTCGTATTAATTAGGAATTCTCAATAACTTATTAGTTATTCGTATTAATTAGGAAGTAATTATTCATTAGCCACTTTTTTAAATGAATAAGTGTATGTCACAGATTATTGATTCGTTTTGTATAAATATTGTTTTCTTACAGTTCAATAATATTGGTAACATAGGTATGTAGAGGAAAAATATCAAACAGGCGAAGCAAAAACCAAAATTGAATAAAGCTTTCGATCCGTCACGGCCAACGTTCAAAAATAAACCACCAATGACGAAGCCAAGGCATATATGTAAAATTATTTTTAAGTATACATAATTCTGAAAAAACAAATTAAATATTCGTTACGTATTTCTTCTTTTTAATTAAAACTGATTATTCATTATTTTATACCTTATTTCTACGAAATTGTAACAACATTCTCCTGCATAGAATAACAAATTGTTCGAACCGGGACACATTCCATATCTTTTGCATTCCATTCTTTGCATCGAATTGAAATTTAAAGCTTGTTTGCTGAGGAACAGAAATGATAGGAAATTCCATATCTACAACATTTACCATTCGATCTACCCAGCCTGGGCCATATTCACCCGTAGATATCTCTATCACTGTAACAATTTAAATTTCGCGCGACACGTAAATTCATTTACACAATTAATACACTGCGGATTTTTTTTGTACCTATGTGAAATTTGAAAATTCAATAATGAACAGAATGCATACAATGTATAACGTATAATTTGATATATAATATATCGAAAGTAAAGTACTTGTTATGATATTTCGTAGCAGAAATAAATTTCTGTTTAGATCTCATTTTTTGAACTATGTTCATAAAAATATAAAATTGCATGAAGATTCACAGTTAAAGTTAATTAGCTTTTCATTTACCAAAATCAGCAGGATTGTAGTGCTTCGGACATTCGATACCAATTCGTTGAAAAAATGGTATCATATTATGCACGGTATTTCTATAGATACAATGGCCACCGGCTATAACATAAACATGATCGAATTTTGCGAAAATACTTGAATTTGGAGTATGAATAGAGCAGACTATCGTTCTTCCCAATTGCGTCAAAGATTTTAAAAGTTCCATACATTGTGCAGCCGATGTTTCATCTAGTCCTCTATAATTAGAAATGGAATAAATAGATTACAAACTAGTTTTTGAACTAGGTAATTAGAATCTTTTTCTGCGAAGGAAATTACTCACGTAGTTGGTTCATCGAGGAATATTACCGGAGGATTACTCACGAGTTCCAAAGCGATCAAAACTCTTTTTTTTTCGCCACCTGACAAATGTTCGGTAATCGTGTCTTTCGCGTGATACAATCGCAAAGTATTTAGAATTTCTTTTATCTGAAATGTTCATAAAATGTTCTGCAATGAACACCAGCGGATCAATATGTCAGTCATGTATAGGTTTCAACGAATTTTCGAGAAACTAGTAACACCATATAAAAATGCTCGTCTCAGGTTTATGTTGTTATGTACGCGACGGGAATATAAAAAATGGTGCGCCATGCAATACGAATAGGTATTCCAAGAACACAATTTAAGATTGCGTACAACAAACGTATTCTTAACCAAAAAGATTTCTCCTGATATTTCTTACGCATGTACACACTTTACAAAAAAAATATATCTTTTTTTCTCTCAAATTGTACCGTTTAAGACGTAAGATGCTTACAGCGATCAATTTTGCTTTGTTGGAGATTTTGCCAAGCTTCAAATCTACAGCAAATTCCATTGCCTCTTGTACTGTAAGGCGTGGTTGAAGGAGATCTTGTTGCATAATATAACTCGACATTTTTTTTAAATATTTCTCATTTCCTATTTGTCCGTTAATGCTTATCTGTCCCGTGATCGTGCCCTCCACTCTGAGAACATAAACGATCCGATTTTGAAAAATGAAAACAGAATTTTTAGTCGTAAATCTATGAATACAAGTAGCTGCGTTATCGATCAAGTTGATGACATTAAAATTCGTTAGGATCCGACTTAACGAAACTCTTTGTAGACCATGACATCAGTGATTTTTAACGTTTTTGATTTCTAAATAGAATACATAATTTATTAATTTCATTAGTCCATTATCCATAGCCCATTTATTAATTTCATACTAGTTGTATTTTGCTCTAGTTGTATATGAAACTACGTATTAATTATACATGTAATATTACTTGTATCCGGCAAGAATATTTAATAAAGTGGATTTTCCAGCGCCTGAAGGACCTAATATGGCGGTTAATTGTCCAGACTTGAATTGTCCAGAAATTCCTTTTAATATTACTTTTCCGGCTGTAACATATGAATAGAATATTATTTTGTTACTTCATGGTGTTAGAAGATAAAAGCGTCGAGAAATATATAGTAGATGAAAATTTTCATCTGTGTCATTGGGAAATGATAATAATGTAGTAGATAATGATAAATAAAAAGAGGTGATAATTATACATGTAAGTAAAAGAGCTTAAGAAAAAATACACTGCTCAAAAAAATTAGGGGATATTTCAAAATGAATATGAAGCGATAAAAAGAAGCATTTGATTTTTTTTTATTATACAAGAACAACTTTCTTTCACTTATCGTTTGCTTTTCTGATGTTTTTGTTCAATAAAAAAAAAATCAAATGTTTCTTTTTTTTATCGCTTCATATTCATTTTGAAATATCCCCTACTTTTTAGCAGCAGTATATAAGCAGTGTATAACACAACACAAACTTGTTTTTATTATGAAAAATTGAATTTTGCTCCTTGAATAATTTGAATTTTACTGAAGTAACACGAGGTTAGACATTTACATAAGTTAACCCGGGATTACCCACCTGGGGGTCTTTTAGCGACTAGACCCTCACGTGGATAATCCCGGGTTAAATAAGTAACATGTTGAATTAATTATTCCGTCATCAGAACTGATATTCAGTTTTTTTTTAATGAACTAACTCATCACAATCTATAATAATATTATTTTTTAATATTATAATTTCATTATCGAATCAATGAATTACGAACGTTAATTATTTTTAATAATTATATCAACATTTATCGTTCGTAATATTTATTATTAAGTTATTATTTATTATATTTATATATATTTATTATTAAATTATTAAGTTTTATTATTAAGACTTTATTCTAGTTCTTATGGTACATAATACTATACTTCGCTTAAAAAGCTGGTCTTTTTAACCACGTTCAATGCGAATATATTTTTCCGTATTTGGAAACGTCTAATTGTTACTTCGAATGAAATAAAAGCACAAAATGCTTTATTACATATAACAGCACATGAACTTTGTTATGTAGTTTTTTTAAAAAAAATAACACGTTACCATTTGCACATATTAAACATGTAACATGTCGAGTTAATTATTTTGTAATCGATCTTAATTCAAATAATGGAAGAGTATATGAACTATTCATTTTTTTCAATGACTCATGATAATCTACTACTTCTTAATATATTACAACTTCGTTATCGAATCAATGAATTATTTTTTTTTGTAACATAATGTTACATGTCAAAGATAATTATTATAAATTTATATATAAAATAATTACGTTATTTGTGCTGATAACATTTATTGTTCGTAATTTTCATAAGTTATTTATTACAATAACGATAATAAAAATTATTTCAAACTATTCTAAACATGCTTCGCTTTTGGTCTCTTTTCGATCACGTACAAAACAAATGTATATTTTTCGTATTTGAAAGCGTCTAATTGTTATTTTAAATGAAATAAAACAAGCGCAAAATACTTTATTGTATATAACATGTTATAACTGTTTCTAAAAAAAAATTATGAGACAGCCAGAATTATAGCGCCAAACGATTCGTAGCAAAACTAAAGTTTTAAATTCGAATTTTGTATGATCTCTTTAAATTCGTATTAATTTTGTATTAGCTCAATAATTTCGCAAGAAATTCTCTCTCGAATTGTTTTTTATTAATTATTATTATTATCATTAAATGAATTTCTCAATTTTTAGTTCAATTGATTTTTCTTATCGAGACATATTAAAATTGTACGTAATGTCGTATGTACGTATTATACAGATTTTACAAAACGGAATTACAAATAAAATGATGAACATTAAAACTTTTTATATCGTTTCAACGCTTTAATATTGGAAAACCAAATTCGAAAGTAGCTTACGCAATCTAGTCAAATAAATGAAGTGTATCCTTTAATTTAATAGGAAAATGCAATTTTTCGACAAACGCAATTAAAATTATAAATAGTTATGTATTTATTTCAATTATTTTTATTGCACTAGAACATACAAAAAAAAATTTATCACTTAAACCATAGAATTAAATTTTAATACTTCCGGCAAAGAAATGTTTAATATTATCATACCTTTTCCAGATATCGCATATGTCAAATCATTAAATTCGATATCAATAGGAGCCATTTTTTTTAAATGCAAGGATAATACCGTGGTACCTTGCATTTCATCCTTATTTTGTTTCGCCTTGAATTCCGATTTTGCAGACATGGTTGATCCGTAGTTTCCACAAATCCGCTTTATTCAAATCATTATTTGAAATGCTTTTCACTCTTTTGATAATTTGAAATTCCCTAGTGATATCATAAAGACATTTTTAAATAATTCGTTTAAAAATTTAATTACGTTTTGCGTAAGTAAATGATAATGAACAACATCTTGAAAACGATTTTTCATGCGAAAACATTTTTACGGATAAACAAATTACATAAACACGAAATTAACAAATCCAGGAATAAAATAAATAAAAAAAAGTCGAGTATAAATATAATTAAAAACAATATTTGGGTCTATTGAAAACGAGTTACTGCGAACGTGCGACTTTTAAAATTGAGGAAGAACGATACAAACACAGCAACAGTCTGTTCAAAAGGAAGTCACTGAATAAAAATGAAAAAACTCATAAGAACACTAAAAAGCTCAGTACACGGCAAACCGCGGTAAAAGACTGACGTTGACATAGCTTTGCTGGACTCCCTATTCTCAACGGCATTACATATACATACATGAATGTATTGACTACCATCATGACGATGTTATATTTCATTGCATTCATATTCTATGAAGTAACTGGCAATCAAAATTCGTATGTATTCAAATAATGATAAGCGTAGCTGTTCTGAAACTTCAATTATTAAAGGCAATGTACAGTGTAACAAAAAAATGAGAATCATATGCAGTGTTTGTATGTATGTACATACGTACTGCATGAACATGATACTGTAATCAAGATAAAAAAGAAAGACATACTGATTTAACAGATGCATTACAGGAAACAGCAAATCAATTAAAACTTCTCATAAATTATCTATAATTAATTATGTTTAACGATAGAAGATCCCCTAAAAACAACAATGTTTTCTCGGTATTATCCATTTTACATGCATTGTTTCTATGGGTATACATTTATATCTTCAACAATTATATTCTTCCCATAATCTTATTTTCACTAGAAGAGCATAAAACATATTTAACGTAACTTTATGGTTGTTTCCTTCAGTTATTTTTTATGACATTCCATTTGCTACAAAATCAATGTATTGACATTTGTAATATTGTATAAAATATGGCAATACGATTGATTAAAATTGTAAAAGCATAGCATAAAATAAATATATTAACATGTATAAACTATAAAAAAATGCTCTGTTTTACGATATAGTAATTAATCGTATTGCGATACTTTACACAATACTATTAACTAGCTATGTACTATGTATTTACTACCACATAAATGGTATAGAAAATACTAATTTCCTATAGTCGCGCTGCGCACTGAATTTCTTGTTACATAGTAATATGTAATGTGTAATGCAAGATTTGCATTATTCATAGCAAAATCTTAAGTTGTATATTTACTCGTTATCTTATAATGCACTATGACTCCATCTCATATCAAAAGAGTATCATATAAAAAATATACTACGTAACACAGAATCTGATTATTATATATGATTATTTATACAATCTTTTCATATTTAAATGAAATAGCTACGTGATTATACATTGAATGATACTATTATTTAACGATTCTTTATGTAAATGAAACATATTATAATACTTATATAAAAGACACATAAAAAAAAAACATTTTTCCCTGTTTGAAATGAAATCAATCAAATGATAATAAAAAATATACTCTTGTACAATTCATAATTACAAACACGATACGTAACATACATATATACCATGACTGTATTACAATGTATTTTCATACGGATGGATTTTTTAATTATAATATTCGATGAACATAACTAAAGAAATTGATTCTAAATAAATATTTGTTTCATTTCATAATAAGTGTACTTATATATTTCTACATATTATGTGTATTTCATAGATATTTGGAATTTTCGAATTCCTAGAAATGCATAAAAATCCGTAGTTTATTATAATTTGTTAAAGAGAAATTATGCTCCAGTATATCCATTTTGAAACTGAAGAAATACTGTTTTTCTACATTTTGTAAGGACATATAAATATTTCAACTAGTGATATTATAAAAGGTATATTTATATAAAGTATTTTATTTGTAATAAACATGTGCTATAAAATACAACAAACACTATGCCAATTTAGCACAAGTACATGCATTTGAATGCATGATATTATTATAAAATATATTATATATCTATATATATTAATCAGAATCGATCACGCAAACGTTTTACATACGTAAATATATATAATTCATTCCATTTGTGTAAATAGATACAAACATATTTTCTTATTAAAGTACAATTGTCAAGTCAGTTTTAACGTATATTAAATAATATTATTGATGTGTTACAAACCAAATGTTTTAATTTCGTATTTTAGATTAACAACCGCAACTCCTACAATTTAAAAATTAAAAAATAAATTTAGGCGAAGATTGACGACAAAATTGTTTCCCTTACGTTAAGTTTTGAAGTACTCTATTTTTATGTACCTTCCTATGTGATTTATATTTTTACAAAAGTAGATTCGCTTTAAAAATATACACTACACATCAACTGAACAGGTTATGATGAAATATAAAATTTCAGTAAACTTATTCTAGTAAATTTTCAAATACACAACGCTCATGACGCATTACCAAAATTCAATACATGATAAGACAAACCTGGCAAGATATTTATTATTTCAGATATTAATATAAAAAAAAACATCATTTTATGTCCGCGTTAGAAATAAAAATACAGTTTATTATATTTATTTTTTATTGTTTTTCTCCATCTTCAAATTCACAGCCATATGCGAATAAAAAATATGATCACTCGCAAAATGTTGTCAATTAAGGCCTCTTGTTCTTTTCAATATATAGAATTGTAAAGTTTTTTCAATATATTATAAGAATTGCAAAGATCTATCTGGTCGATTTGTAAACAGATCAAATAAATCTATCCCCTTTTATATTACTCTTTAAATTGAAAATATATGATCAATTTGAGATCATCATACATATTCGTGTGCATTGTTTAAATATTGTTGTATTATATAACAAAATGAATACAAAAACCATTTATAATTATTAGGGATGGATATGAAGCTAATTTTTAAATTCTCCTTAAAAACAAAAATTACCAAGCGTTTACGAAGTATCTTGCATTGAATATTCGAGATATACATGAATCAAACATTCTTTATTTACGCTACAAATGATTTCTTATTCGTTGATTTTGTACTTTTTATTATTCGAGTTTCAAGAATTTTGAATCACAAAAAAAGTATAAAATTTCGAATTTTCAAAACTCGAAAATTCCGGAGAATTTCGAGAGTTCGATATTTCAAGTAACCCATCCCTAATAATAATCATCGCAATAATTATCATAGAATTATTATCATAAAACTAACAAAGAATAAATTATGTTCATCTAAATCTTATAACATTGTTAATTATAAACATAAACAATATATATTTCTCCCAATATACAAAATTTTCTCGACGCAGTTTATCAAAGAAAAGTAGAATTACTAATCACATACTTGTATCGTACGATGTGAAAAAATGCATTATCGTCTTAGTCTGTAGTGTCCCTTTATAAAAGTGTTGTACGCTATAACGTTGTTAAATTGACAATAATCATACACTGATCTATCGTGCAGTCTTTAATTTCCAACGAAGAAACAGATAGGCAGCAATTCGAAGTACAAGAAATATTAAAAGCAAGGCAAAAATATCAAGAGTAAAATCAGCATCAAGCATATCTAATTCTTCCAACGTTGTTTCTGGGTTTTTAAAGTGGCAGTACACCTGTAAATATTATTGCGTTAACAAAATGTTATATATATATATATATCTTATTATTATAAATATAATATCTTATATTATAAATGTTATATATATCTTACTATAAATATAGAATTCAATAAAAAAAAACATACCTGGAAACATTTAAGTTTTTCTCTGCCAAACGAATATGTAGCCAGAGCAGTTCCTTCAAAGCCATATCTTATGTAGCTCAGATAGGTAATCCATCTAAGATATACTGGAATGGCGTCAAAACTAACGAAAAAGCCAGAAAACAAGAGGAATGGTACTGACATGACTGGTGCTAAAAATACGCCATTTTGAACATTCATCGCTGCTCCAACCACTAATCCAACTGATTGTGCAACAAAAGAAATGAGTAAACATGTTCCCAAGAACATACTGAATCGCATAATATCGGTTGGTTGACTTGTCATAAAATACACAATTGTAACATATATAATGCAGAATATCGCCTGTAAGAAAAAATAAAATATATAAATTTTCAGATTTCAGAGAGTCAAATGACATATTTCTTTTTTCTTACCTGGAATGGTATGTCTGATAAAGTAATCGCTAAATAGTAGGCCTTGAGAGAGTACCATCTATTAAAATTTTCTTTTAAAAGCACTGGCAGTTCTAGCGGAACTGTACGAAGAAAAATTTTTGCAAATACTTTTATAATATAATACAAAAGAAACAAAAAAATAAACAAAACTAATATGAAAGTATAACTTACACGACAATATTGTAATGGTCATAGATGTATACATAAGAAACAGCATATTAAAAAATAGAAATCCAAGGTTGCTAAGTACTTTAGCACCATCATTTCCAATATCATAATAAAGTGCGCCTATTAGCAATCCTACTAAAATATGCGCAAAAAGTCGAAGATACATAAGTGTCTAAAAAAGAAATAACATCAGATTTGTCTGTAATAAAAATCATTATAATGAAATTATTTTGAATGGATCAATTGATCAATTCAATTGATTAACTTACCCAATCTCTTCGACTAAAAAGTAAAGTTCGTTTTAAAACAATCCAGAACTGTTGACATTCGGATGTGGGGTATCTTTCTGGAGTGATTATAATCGAGTCATCGAGTAAGGCTACTTCAGCATTATCCTTTTTCTCCATATCAATCACTGTATCTATTATATAAAAATAACGAATTATATAGGAGATATAATTGATATATTCTACTTAACTTTTTGCGTTGGAATGACATGCTATGTCAGCATCTGTTGTTATCTACTTCTAAAGTAAAAATAACGTGCTAGATACGTCAAAAAAAATAAAATTTACTGTAATAAACAACAGTTTAGTTCTAGTTTTTTGCGTGAGTTTATCACGGATTTGTGATGATTATGATAGATAAATTTTCAGCGAACTTAATAATTTATGATTCATAATTTGATCTTTCTTTGAACCTTGTTTCATAATATCATTCGTTGCATAAGCTGGGATAATTCCTTTATTATCTATTTTTTTCACTTTATCCTCTTGAAACTTTTCCTCCAAATTGCTAAGGTCATTTTTATCTTTCGTTTCAATATTTTCTCCACATCCTTCACCTTTCGAGAACGAATCACTAGATGCATTATTCAATGATTCCAATTTACTTTCTGGGAAGGGATGTCCTTCTCGAATATCATATTTCCCATTCTTTATAGCATTCACCAAGTTTCTAACATTATCTCCATATTCTCCACAAGATACTTCGATGACTGAAAATTAAATTATAGTAATCGGTAAAATCACTATATTTAAGAAATTTAGAAATAATCTTATGAATATCTTACTAAAAGAGGCTGGATTATGATAACTTGGGCAGTTGAGTCCGATATTTCTGAGAAAGGGCACTAATTGTGATGTAGACCCTTGATATACACATTGTCCTTCGGCTAATGTATATAGAGAGTCGAACATTTCAAACAATCTAGCGCTAGGCTGATGAATAGTGCATATTATTGTTCTTCCTCCTCGGGCTAAGGTTTTTAACAATGAAATGCATTGGAAACAAGATGATGAGTCCAAACCACTGCAACATATAAGTTATTTCTCATCAAGCAATATTTTGCCAGTAAAACAAAACAACTTAAATTACAAGGTAATTCAAATTTTTCTTAATTAAATTTTTGAACATTTATATACATCAATAGTTCTTGAATGAACTGAAACTTTCTTTTCACTTAATCACAGAAAGAAAAATTCTACTAAACATTAAAAAACCAATTAAACATATCTTTTTAGAAGTTTTAATTGCTTGCTAAAGAATTTTTCGAAGTGATTTCACAAATCAGAATGTTGTTTGATAAAATTTTAATAAATAGAAATGATTAACAATTACAAGTATCGCACTTAGAAAAGAATGATATATACAGTATCAGTGAAAGTTTCAAAAATTTGTTGCTTATATACTTTCTCTTGTTTCATTTTGTCATTTGCTTATGTAAGTCATTTTACAGCCTATTTATATTTTTGTACATATAATCATTATGCACAAAATAAATTATAATGTTAATTATAATGTTGTAGTGTTAGTAAAAGAAAAAAAATTAAAAACAAATTAAAAATAAAATTCATATCTTTAAAAATTTGCAAATGTTATTTCCTGACACTGACGATCATGCTTTCATTCAAACGTTATATAAGAAGTAAACAGGATTCTCTGACATTGATGGTAGTGAAAGTGAAGGTATTTATAAAAGAAAAAATAATTTCTCTTTACAATGAGTTAATGTGGAATCCATCAATGATATATTCTACTTTATTTCACAAACATATTTCTACTTTCATCCAGATTTTTTTTATTTTTTTTATTGTATTGTACAAAGTATATATAACATTTTCTCACCTAGTAGGTTCATCAAAGAACATTATCGGAGGATTATTGACTAATTCAAGTGCAATAGAAAGCCGCTTTTTTTGTCCGCCACTTAAATTTGAAGTCATGGTTTGACGATGTTCAGATAGACCAAGTGTTTCTAAGATTTCTTGAATCTAATAAATAAATGTGAATATCATTAGAAACTTCAACATTCTTTTTCAATGCTTTATTAATTAGTAATCTAATAGTAGTAATATATAAACAAACACACACCACTTCTTCCTTTTCTCCCTTACTAACATCTGATCCAAGTTTAAGGTTTGAGGCAACTTTCATTGCTTCAGCTACAGTTAAATTCGCATGAAGTTGATTATCTTGCATTATGTAGCATGATAATTTTCTAAAGGCACTAAGATTTCTCTCATGGTCATTCATTGTGATACTTCCTTCAGCACCTGTTGATCTAAACATATATTCAGAATATTTTGAAATGTCTAATATATACAAACACCTACAGACATCTGAAAGTTTCAAATATTTAGAAAAATACAAGTACTTGAAACATTTTATAGACATTAATAAACATTATATACATTCTAAAAAAATAACGATTTCTTAGATTTATTTACTACTGTCTATAATGTATGCTTTAAACATGTACAAAATATGTTATTATTATTATTACAATTATAATTAAAATAAATTTTATTCACTTAATTGTACATATGATAATTTTACATAATTTTCACAAGATCATGTTTTTGATTTATTTACACATTCTCTTAAACAAATGTATGTAAAAAATGTTCAATCGTTAATATTTTAGAATTGATCTAATTTTAATTGAAATCCTTATTTTTCTACTTAAAATTTTACAAATGTACATAGACTTCTGTGACCGACTGTACAGGAAATACAGAAAGATATCCACGGTTATTAGAATTAATTAAACGGTAAAAATAACGAATTTTATATCATCTGTAAGCAATGAACGTGTTTTTGCGTCTGTAATTTACATAAGCGTCGTATTCATATTTATGACGTCGAATGAAACGAAACGGAATAATACAAGGCGGCATAATAAATAATAGTTAAATTTCATTCGTCATCCGATTGGATTTGTTTAAACTCGATCTAAAACTAATTGGAACTTAGGAGCGGTTTTAACTTGGCATTGCTAACTAGCATTATTGTTTACAAATGTATCATAATGAAAAAATAAAGTTTTTCGTAAATTTATTAGTCAGTAAATAAATTTAATATCGTATTTAAGAAATATATAATTAACATATTTCTAAACGAAAAAACTTTTCAAAGAAGAATCGCAAAAAAAAAAAAACAAAATCGTCTTTCAAAAAAAAAAGTAAGTTGTCACAGCTAAAAAATAATAAAATATTGTTTCAAAAAATATCGAGAAAACATTTTTATTTGTTATTTGAATTTTGATAAATATGAACAATGAATAGGATATACATTTCAAAATCTACATAAACATAGAAACTTACTTATATCCGGTCAGGATGTTTAAAAGAGTAGACTTTCCTGCGCCGGAAGGCCCCATAATAGCTGTCAGTTCTCCAGATCGTAACCTTCCACTGACGGATTTCAAGATTGTCTTTACATCTGAAAATTAAGTAAGTTTAATTATCTTTAATTATTTAAAAAGTATCGTCTTCTTGAAATTACTTCATAAACATCCAGAAATGAAAACCATAGTCATCAAGATAGCAAACCGTCTAATGGCACTATTTTTTAAAAATTTTGTGAGATTTAGTTTTTTTCCATATGTAGATACATATAATAAATAATTTTGAATTCATTCAATGATGATGAATTCATGATTTTCAAGAAGCCAAAAAATCAAGCTTCCAGAGATAACGTCACGAAAAGTCACAGCACAGTTTTACATTATGTCATTATACAAAGAAACAAGTCTTCATTGTTAAATTGTAATTAGCTCACGGAATATAATCAGAAATAAAATATAAATATACATTTCATATGTGTTTTCGATTAAAATTACTAAAAAAAAAGAAAAAAAGAACTATTGACCAGATATCATTTTATGCATGATCATTTTCTCTATCCCAGTATAAGAAAAACTTGTTATGTCATTCGTTACGTTCGGAGCTAATTAGCTAGGCTATTCTAATTCCAAGAATCATATCTATTTATCTTATAATTAAGTGTGTATTTTCAATTACTTATGACTTACCATTATATTCCAATGTGTTATATATATTATTATTGCAAATATAATATTAAGTGATAAATCAATTATAATAGTAAATACTATAAAATAGTTGTTACGTCACATGATACATCACGCATACATATCGATGATTGCATGACGATGGATTTTTCCAGATATAACACGTTTATCTATGTATCTAGTAAAAATTAAAATTCAATTTCGAATATTTGTAAAATTGGATATTATGTTTACTAACACTATTTACTAAAAAAAGAAAATAAGTTAAAAGTGAAAAAAAAAATAAAATAAGCGAATTGCTAAAATGCATAATAACGACGCTAAATAAAGTATTAAGTTTTCTATCTGAATACCTTATACTTTTCTATTTCTTATTGCATTTGAACGTAACAAAAAATTAAAATGATAAACGTATTTGAAACTTTTATCAATATATTTATCATTATATATTTTATTAAACTTTTATCAAAATTTTTTACCAATATATAATCGTAGCCATTTCTAGATATTAAAGAAAAGTCAACTTCAAAAAGGCTTACACAAAATGTAGATTGCAAAAATATTGCTACAGATACATTCACTTTCTATATTCTATCCTGATCGCTTTCATTGCAGATCTATCCGTGAATAGATGTACGAAATTGTGTAGATCAATTATATCCAAAATACAATCAACTAATTCTAAAATACTATTTCAAAAGGTAATCTTGTTTTCTAGTTTCAAATACTTCATTACACATTAAGTAAATAACAATTGAAATTTTTTAATTACATTTCACTCTTCATTTAATTGCGAAATTAAAAAAAAAGAGAAACAATAGAAACATTAATCGAAACAGAATGGAACGTTTAACAAATTCAACTACTTTAGTTGCTGTAATTAGATCCAGAAATTGATTTGATTATAACAAAGAGAAACAAAGAATAGTTTGAAATTTGTTTTCATTGCATTATTGTTTCTGCTAGTGATTGACTACTAGATTCTAAAAATTACAATAATATGATTTAAACATTTTGAAAAACATCAATAACGAGCGTTTCTTTCGATATATATATATATATATATATATATATATATATATATACGTATAGTTTGGAAATCGTGACTAGAACTTTATGCCGTAACCGGTCTCTTACAAAATCTCGGTTACTAATTTCTCCGCTTTAGTCAACTACGCTCTACAAATTGCGTGGAAAGTTATTTTTGAGTAATAATAACGGCGCAATGATGATAAAAAGAACGAAATTAATCATCAGAAACGAATTTTAAGTGAATTTTTTATTATCTGGTTAATTATAATACTATTTGATAAGAATATATCTGTACAACCATACCAATTATATACATATACAACACTGCATGAACTGCACTATTTCAGATACATGTTGCTTTCACAGATAACATTTACTTTCCCTTTGTGATCAATGTCGTCAAGAACCAGTTTTAACTGTATGAATTTAACAAAAAAGAGAAAAACAAATGACGAAATTATATTTTCTTTTTAATCAATAATGTCAAGATCTCATTTCAACTATATACATAGATCACAAGAAACAAATAACAAAATTATATTTTTTTAAATCATTTTTACAATATAAAAGCATCTTAATCCTCGTACAATATGCGAAATTAATATTTATTTTTTATTTGAATATAAAACGCAGATCTTTTTTAGAGAAGTATTTATAAAAAAAAAAACAAAAATTTGATGTACTTACTGTTTTTGCCGCCTTCTCGTACCCTGTATGACAAATTAGTGAATGCTAGGTCAACCGGTGGTCTTTTCGGTAGATGTGTAATCGTTTTTGGTTGTGCTGGTACAAGTTGTAAACGAGCACCTGAACCTTTTTGAGGTTGTAATAAAATTTCATTGGTACTATCTTCATGTGAACAATTTCCCTCAAGCTTCATTTTACGTCTTGATTTTTTCTTAACGTCTTATTTTCAGTTTAAGGTAAAATTTAAATAGCTTTTTCTCTTCCTTTATAGTCGATAAATGGTTCGTTTAAATGAACCGATTTTCCTATGGTGTTACGTTTTTGTTACTGAATATGCATACAAATTCTTTCATCGCCTGAAAAATTATTTGTTTTCGAGTTTAAGTCATTTATATGATGAAATATATTCAAATATAAATTCAAATATTATCATTTCTTTAGTATAAAATATGACATATCTTTTTTAATAAACTTTTAAAATAAGCGATATTATTTATTGTCAATAAAATTGTAACTTTATAACTTCATTCTGAATTCACTATAAATTATAAATATTTATTTCCATATTGAAATAAAACTGAAAAGAATGCAAATAACATTAATGATTGACGTCAATTTAGAATGCGAAAATTCTTAATGCTTAATGCAAGTGAATAAATAATTAATACGAGTTCATAGTGATATTAGTAAATTCAAAACTGACTAAAAATTCTAAGAAGAATACAGAGTTGTAGTAACTCAAATTCGGATGGATTTCAAATAGCGCGCGTTCTTACATTATCGAAGTAGCAATGCATGAAGTCGATTAAAAACATACAGCCATGATTTAGAAATAACAACTGCGTAGTAGAGCGTCGACTCTGTCTCAAGTCAGAAGTAAATGCATCTCAATTCCTGTATTCCACGTTTTCAAAATGCAGAACGTCGTCGTTCGGGCGATCAAAGATGGAACATACACTTTCAATTTTTACGCTTGCACATACGTGTAACAACAGTAATGTTTTTTTTTTTTTTTTTTAAATCACACGGTCGTAATCGTCAACGATAAACTAACAAAAGATTCAAGGTAACAATCGATCTAATGAAATGCTCTTCACGATGCTCGAACCTCGGTGTCTCGAGCGAAACTGACTGGCTGACTCCACCATTTAACTGCATCGCGGCCATCACCATTGACTGTCGCGTCGTTGCTTTGCAAAGTCTTCTTTCTCATTCTGTTTCTTTTTCCATTCTCTCTTACCATTCCCTTCTATTCCCTATTCGCAACTTATCTGTTTAAGCATGCAACAAAGAATGACGATCGAGGAAGAATGAAGAGTTGATGTGATCAAAGTCGAGATCGTGCACGTTTTTTAGATTGTAGTCTTCTGCAATCGTTTCTTTAGTACGTATATATATATGTACATATATACACACGCGCGCGTATATATATATATATATATATATATATCAACTATGATTATTTAACTTGTTTCGATTGAACTTTTATACTTTTATACTTTTATACTTTCCTAATTTCTTTTCGTTACTCTCTCTCGCCTTTTTTAAATTAGAATTAACAATTTAAATTAATTTTTTGATATAATTGCTTTGATTTCATTTTTGTTAAAGAGTAATAAAAGAATTACGCAAATAATCGACGACGGTTTCTTAATTGCTAATAAATTGTCTTAATCGTTAACTTATTATAACAAATTATAATTATAATTAACTTATCGTTAACTTATTATAATAGCAATATATAATGATAATTTCAAGGAGAAGTCTTCTACAATTGCATTTTCAAATACAAAATGATCTTTCAAGCAACACAAAATGTGTTCATTGGTGTGTAACTGCAAAAAATTAAAATCAATTATATGTTATCAAAGAATATCACTTCGATAAATCGTGAGTGTTCTAAAATGATATATTGAACTTGTTCATTATTTGTAATTATCTAACATTTTTTAAAAGTAATACGTTAAAAAATAGTACTTTGATATTTGGAATTGCATGTCATGTTTCATTTGACGTCATCATATTACACGTCTCAAATTTAAGAACGAAAAATAATTCGTTGAAGATCTACATGTATTCCATGTAACCAGATTCATCCATCGTATTCCTTAGAAAAAATATGATTTATTATATTACTTACATAGTTACACATAAGTCAGCCTACTTTAATTAAAAAAATTAATTAAAAATAATGTTATAATATATACTAATTTCTATGATCTGTGCGAAAAAATCATTTTGCATAATGTACATGTTGCATTCTTAACTAATATATTGTGCACAAGTGATTAACTTTTTTGCTAATGATAAATTAACAGTTTATATCAATGATTATACAAGGCCGAATAATATGTCAAGATCAGAAGGTGATTCTTTACAGAAAATAAGAAAAAAATATACAATAAAATTTTCTTGTCCGACACTCAGTTTTTGAAAAAATCGAATTTGGAAATTTATCAAGTACACATATACTAAGCCAATTTGTAACGAAAGAGTTAAAGTATTTAAAATCTATTTTCTTGAAAACGTGGCGTCGGATAAAAAATTTCATTCCGTATTTCTTTTTTATTTTTTCATAAGGTATAAAAAATCACATCCTGCCCGCGTGCCACATCATTTGTCGCACTTGGTATACATAGATATCGCTTAAACAATTAACTCTTTCAAAATGTTCATGCATTAAAATAACAAATTTTGTAATATTAAATTTTAAACATAACGAACATAATATTGAATTTAATAATAAACATTTGATTCTTCGATATATTTTCTTCAGATACATATACATCTTAGATACTTAAAGTTATAATGACAAACAAAATTCTGTTTGTGCATGTTCGTGCAAGTATTACATGTAATGAACTACATGTACATATATGTACATGATACAATATATGTATTGTATCATATACAATAATACAATTTGACAAAAGCACAATCATAAATATAGTGTATTTAATATATCTATATATATATAATCATTATCATACATTTGATATGCAGCACAACACATGATCATACTTAAGAAAAAGCGATGATGCATTTAATGAAAACAAGTGGGAAGGAAATTCCAAAAAAATAATATAAAAAATAATTAGTAACTAGAATATGCTAAAGGTACATCATCCAATTTTCTTGTAATGAGTATTCATGAATGAATATTACTATATAAATAATTCATTTAAAATAAGTCTGCAAAACAAAAATTATTATTCTTGTATATCTTTTAACTTACTGCATAAAAATTTATTAGTTTCTGTTGCTTTTCTGAATTTATACAATAATAAAAATTGTACACGCTTAAATTCATTATTAAAATAAATATAGTGCAGAAAAAACTTAGTATGTCTGTCTGTATGTATATATATATATATATATATATATACATACATATATGTATACCATGGATAAAGTTATCGCACGATACTGTACGAGGCTATCTAGAGTACGCACTGTTTATACAATGAAAAGAGTAAAGTCCAAGTATGTAATTGTGTTGAGCAGTTACGATAAGAATATACTATAGAATATACTAAAATATACTATATTCGAATAAAATATTTTATATTAATTTATTCTTACTTAGTTATATCATAAATTGTTTGCTTTGTACAATAGAACCAGAAAATATTACGTTTCTATTTCTTTGACATAATATATTGTAAAAATTACAAGAATAATTCACAAATTTGTATTTCAATAACGAATAAAAGTATATTCTTTATTATAATAATAATTACATGTAAATTATTACGTATATTATATTATTATACCTATTATATATATATATTATAATCATAATTAAAACAATGGATTAACTGCGATTAAAAATAAAATGCATTCATTATATTATTCCAATATCTACATACAATGTATTTAATCCTTTTTACAAAAACATTGTTTCAATGTCAATTATATGCATATGCATCTATATTATGACTCAAACATATTGAATCTATCAAACAAGTTTTTAAGTAATGTAGAAAGATTCATTCTAAAATTATTTAATTTAAAAAGGAATGTATTTAAGTTAAGAATTTTTTCCAAGTTACAAAGAAATACACGAGTAAGTACATTATGATGTTTAGGATAGTTTGTTATCAATGATAATTCTATAATATGCAGTCAAAAATCTCAAAAAATAAGAAAAAAATTATCAAAACTTCTTAAAAATTTGATTATATGCAATTTATAATGTATGTATTTACAATAAAAAGATGAAAAAAAGTGTCTCACTCATCGACATATTAGATTGTTTATTATGTAGAACTTTCAGCCAACAGATATATTTAATATGAAAAAGAACAACCAAACACGCATTTTTTTCGAGGGATTTTTTTTCATTTCTACACAATACATAGTATATCCCTCCTGAGATGCAGGACTATCATAAAGACATTGTAATTAATACATTTACCAACAGCATATATTCTTTTGTTATATCAATTTTCTTATATACATATCAATTGATCTCAATCTTATACTTTTCATAAACTGTATAGGAAATTTAAAAAAAATATATATACATAGAGTGGGGCAACTAAATGGAATTACCTAAATATTTCCCTTATTTGCTATTGTACAAAAAAATTCAGTTGACAAAGTTGCACATATTCTGATGACTAAGTTTTTTTTTTTATTGTCATTTTTATTTTTTTTTTTTTTTTGTTACTTTACGAGACTTCAAGATCATCGATATTTTTTTAATTGAAATCCTATAATAATTTTTTAGCGTATAAAGTGCAATGTGTAGATAAACGTATAGAATGTGAAAAGACCTAAATAACGTTTTCAGTACTTAATCTCGGGATATTTGCATAAATAAAATTTTGATGTACTGACAAACAATCTCGTTTTAACAAGTTTTTTCATACAACAATAAATAAAGGAGATACTTAACTATCCTGTCTTGTATAATATGAATAATGTCTTAAATAACATAACTTTTGTAACGAATTAAAATTATGTAAAGCATTAATTCCCAATCGACGTAAAATTTTGAAGGAATGGAAGAAAGAGAGAGGTATTTATTAGTTTCTGAGATATTAATAAATACGTTGACACAATATGTTGAATTCTACTTATATAAATGTCGACTTTATTAGACGACTAGTGTTCATCTAGTGATCTTCATTGACTATTAAGTAGCCGATGACACATTAGCGATATCGATCTCAACATCTATAAGGTTTCTCATTTGCAGTCAGTATGATTAAACTTCAAATTTTAATCTTTTCGCATTAGGCGATAAAAAAGTAGGAATTGAGATTTTGTGGATTTATGTATATATTTTCCTGGCTGCCAACGATATTGTGGATAATCAAGTTAATGCATTTTACAAATATTGAATCTGATTACCACGTCATCGGGTACCAAAAAATCATCGATGAAGACTATTACAATGAAGGCCGACTTTCAAGCAATGAAAAGAATTTATTCATGCATCTAAATTATTCAAACTAAAATACTATTATATTTCTATCGATATTATTTTTTTTAATATATGAATATACTCACAGGTAGTTTCTGTAGTTAACTAAATTGGCATGTTCGTTCTGTTTTTCATTTTTCACCATCGTACAATTTTTTTTATCACTGTGGATGAATTTATCTTGATATCAATGTAACAATCAGAGGTTCTAGAAAAAAAGGAAAAATTTGAATCAAACAAATAATATGCATAAAATCTTGTAAAAATTGTAATGCAACATAATCATTCACAACTTCATAATCCAATATAAAAAAAAATAATTTGTATTACAATATTACAATATCTCAATTACCAAATTTGTCAATATCATACTACGAAACTGAAAAAAAAAACAAAAATGGTAGTTATATCATATCTTACATTCTACTTTGAAATTTTTTTTTAAATAGTTAATAAAGAATTAATGATTCCATAATTTAAATTTAAATTCCATAATTTAAAAAAAAATCTTGAATTTTAAGTTCAAACGTTTCATGAAAACATCTAGTTTGTTAAGAAAAATAAAAAGCATTATTTCATCATAAGTAAAAATAACTAAAAAACTGCCAGGAACTCATATGTTAATATGAACTAAAATGGACTTTGGTCTGGCGAGAAAATGATGAATAAAATTTATTCTATCTTTGTTAATGGAATATCTTTACTCTGCATTATGCTCGATTGTTTCTCATTAAATTGAATATGACAATATTTATAATCAAAAACATACAACTCAATAACTTTCTAAAATCAAATACAATATAATCTAAATTCACATGAAGTAAAGGAAATATTAACGAGGTAACTTAATAATTAAAACTTTTA